ATAAAAATAGATGGACTATTTTAGTATATTTGCATCTATAACTACGATTGTAAAAAGGCGCGCGTTATATACAATGTGTTTGGTCAGGACATACCGATATTTAAGAAGGGTATTTTTCAGCTATTTTTATCGACAAATCCACCCCCTACAATTCCTACCTCATCCCCCTTGAAATGACAGCCAGTTTTATTTTTACGTTACGATTAGGGTAGTGCATGTATGAAAATTGTAATAACTGAGTACGTAATGTTGGACCAGCGAAAGATTGCAAGCCGAAAGAATGCGGACAAAAAATTGCGAAGTTGTCAGATGTTCTACATAAAATGCGGTCCATACATATTAACATATTTAAGATATAGAATTGTTCCGCTGAATTTGGCAATGTAGCTGGAAAACCCAGGCCGCAGGTAAACATCCGGTCGCTGATTGGTCCAAAACTCTTATCTTATCTGAAACTAGAATAACGTGCCGATGGCACGGTCATTTATAAACCTACTCCCATAGGCGTAGGCAGTTGGCAAATACTTTGAAAATATAATTTACTGTTTAGTGGTGATAATGGAATTCAAGCATGGGAAAGTTATTCACAGCCAGGCAAGGGAAATAATAGCAAACGTGATACGTGCTTGCGATGCAGAAGCGGCTAACAATACTTTCGTTTATCCACTGGTAGCTAGAAATGCAAGGGCGGCATATTATACGGGTGTTAGTGAACGAACTATAAGTAAAATTAGAAAAGAAGATAAAGACAGGCAAAATGCAACCTCCACACAGCCTTTAGCTTCTCCCGGAAAAAAGAGATCACGCCCTTCTGTGATCCAAAAAATTGATGGAGTCGATTTTTCCATTATTCGGAGAATGATAGAAAAATTTTACTGTGATTTTAAAGTGGTACCTACTTGTAGTAAACTTCTAATCAAACTGAAGGAAGAAATGGAATTTCCATTTGGTAAAGAATCGTTGAGGCTGCTTTTAAAAGCAAAAGGATTTTACTGGCGTAAATGCCACAACAAAAGGAAATTACTAATGGAAAGACCCAGTATTTTACATTGGCGATACAAGTATCTTAGGTCTATTAAAAAGTTCCGGGAAGAAGGAAGGCATATTATTTATTTGGACGAAACTTGGGTTGATAATGACCTCACTTTCAAGAAATGCTGGCAAAGCGAAGAAATTATGGGTGTCCTGAGCAATATAAGTTCTACAGGTAATAAAGTTTCTTTCACCTCGATTTTGCTTATTATACATTTTTCTCAATTTTGGAATATTCTTAATAAGTGCTCATTTAATTTGTCTAATTGAATACATAATCCCTTGCAAGTATTTTTTTCTCAAAAATATGTTTTTTATACATAGTGATTCAAAAAGGTGTTGGCAAACTTAAAATAACACTAAAATGAGGCTATTTATTCATTTCCAGGACGACTTATAATTGTTCATGCGGGTTCGCAAGATGGTTTTGTTCCTGGAGCCTGTCTCATTTTCAAGGCTGGCTGTGCCACTGGTGATTATCACGGTCAAATGAACCAAGAAAATTTCACGAAGTGGCTTACTGAAAAACTATTTCCTAACATTCCTCCTAATAGTATTATAATAATGGATAATGCACCTTACCATTCAGCTTTGGAAGACAAGCCTCCAACTAGATCTTCTCTAAAAAGAGACATCATCACGTGGTTGAGCAAAAAAGGTATAGAGCATGATCCTAATGCTAAAAAAATGGAGCTTTATGAAATAGCTTGTCTACATAGGCCACCATCTGATGAGAAAAATTATAAGATAGATAATTTAATAAGAAGTTTCGGACACACCCCACTTCGAACGCCACCCTATATGTGTCAGTTTAATCCCATAGAGATGATTTGGGCACAAGTAAAATTTTTCATTAGAAGCCATAATACAAGCGGCGAATTTACTATAAAAAAACTAGATGAAATTTCTAATAAGGCCATCGCTTCAGTAAGTGCCAGTGACTGGCAAAAGGTTATTGGACATGTTATAAAAATTGAAGATGAATATTGGGAAAAAGACAGTCTCATTCAAGAAATACAGGAAGAAATAATAATCAACATAGGAGGTGAAAGTGATAGCAATGACAGTTCCTCAGACAGTGATCATGACTCTAATCAGGATTGAAACTATACTAGATTGGCTACCTTTTAGAATTTTTAGATATTCATTTATTATACTATTGGTTTGTGGCTTTTAGTATCTCAGTAGAAAGTCTAATTCTATGTGTTGTTTATGGGTTATTTCATCAAGAAATTACTTTTTGTTTTCCTATATTTTTCTATTCAGTCAGATATTTTTGACTTGTTGTATTCTATTTTAGAAGAATGCATAATTTGTTTTGCTGTTCAATCATAATGCGTACATAGGAATATTACTTGTTGCCTAAAAAATATATTTATTTTGTTCTCAATATTCAGTGTTTGTGTATATTTATTTCTTATAATGTATGTTTGGTATCACGTCATTATGAATCGCAAAAAAATATTAATACTACCAGTTGTAATAAAATATAAATTCAATTAATAATTCAAGTCTCTCCGATCTCCGCCTATGACTCCATATAAAATCGTCTAATGGTAAGGTTTTTTCATCGCATTTCCCCCTTTCGTCCCTAGCAATCTTTGGCTGGTCGATCAATAATTGTCAGAGAATGATAAATTAGGTGTCATTTGAACGATGACATGCTGACTAAGCGATTATTGAAAAACTTGTTTTGATACAAACCGTCAAACATACTTAATAACAGACAAAAACAGGAAAAAATGTGGAAGAAAACTGATTATTTTGTGCATTTACGCACACCATTCAAAAACTAGCCTGTGAAGTTGTACCTTTTTTGAGCTAATTCTACAGCTTTTTGTTATTCTAAGTATTCTAGGTTAAGCAATAAATGCGATCTACATGGGTCAAAATGGGTGTAATAAAATGCAAATTGTTTTCAAACTTTGTATGCATAGAAATGATAAATCAATGTTTTTTATAGAGATTTTGGACATGTTTAATGTTACAGAATCTGTTCAAAATGTCTTCCATTATTGGTTATGCACATTGTTGTTCTTAAAACAATGTGTCGTGTTGAGCGGCAGACCATTTCAAGGGGAGTGAGGTATGACATTGTAGGGGGTGGATTTGTCGATAAAAATAGCTGAAAAATATCCCCCTCAAATATCGGTATGTCGGGACCAAACAGATTGTATAATACAATCAATTCATCAAATTCTTCAGTATCTACCATCATTGAGCAGGTCGTGGAATTCAATTCAGATGGTTTGCAGCAACAAACACAACGTAACCAAAGGAAAAATCAAAAAAAAACATAGCGTAGTTGACAAAAACGCAAAACGGTCGAAGAACAGTAAAAGGTATCGTCTAGAAATAACAAAGAGAAGCAGGCAATTATGAATAAATCTACCAAAATAAGCAAGGCAGTTTTTGGTACTAGCGGATCTGCAAACATTACAGCAGATTCCGGTAAGTCCTGGGGTTCATATACAGCGAATCTCTCCTGGGCAGGAACACAAGGAATTAAAAGTTACCTAGATAGTACATTTCTGGGAACAAATATCCAGATCGAGCACGACCATCGTGAAAACAGTAGGACGAGGGTTTTTAAAATAGTAACAGTATGTAAACCTGCAGCTTCTGGAAAAGATATTCACCCCTGATAATTGGCCATCTGGTTGCCTCATTTTAGATGAAAAAAACAAAATGAAAACATATTGTTTAATTATCATTCCTGTCAAATATTGATCCGGGGGACTATTTTAGAAAATGCCAAGCAATATAATGTGTTGACTAAAAAATCAACAATTTAAGTTACAATGTAGTCTCGCCAATATGAATACCAGGCTGCCGGTGATGATTCAGAATACCATAAAATCGTAGTATATCTACAGAAATAAATAATGAAAACCCTTATGATGCTAAGCTTTCAGCTTTCATAGGACATAAAAAATGTGGCAAAATCTTATACAAAATGTCGTATAGAGATCCCCTTTGGAGATACTGATCCCGAAAGGACGTCACTGAAAATTATGATTTTAAATAACTACTGGTAGATGGAAGAATTTTTGACATGGCAACCTGCTCCTTATATGATGATGTTTATAGAAAAAACTTAATTTTTCATATTGTCAGTATCGCGGACTAGCCCTAGAGCAATGTAATGGTACGATGATGTTTTTCGAAACCCCGATCTCTTCGCTAGAAATGTACTTTTGTTGGAAATTTTTGGTTCTTGAGTCTTGTTTCAGCATTGCAGTTTATTCTCACAAAGTGGACAAAATGCTTGATTAAGGTGCTACGTTACGTTTTACTAAGTCATTTTAACCTAAGCAATATGTATTTTCTGATGATGGTTGGTTTGTATGTACTAGTATTATGCAACAGTACAGCCCTCGACCATAGTGTCGACAATGCAACAATGCTAACCTCATATCTGCTTATGGCTTGATAATGCAAATAAATATGCTTGCTGTTACTTCCGACATTGGTCAGGTAAAATTTTCGACCTAGCGCCGGGCGACAAGCTGGTACGGAAGAGCAACAGTGGTTCTATCTAGAGGTCACAATAGAAAAATGTTGTACCGGCTGGTTGAATATTTTTTGCCAGAACAAATGTAGGACATTCTGGCACAGTTGCGATGTGGCACCATGATGGATTGACGCATTCGGAAAAAAGTAGACAAGGCGTTCGATTTAATTTGGTACTTGTGCTGTCACCTAGCGGACTTAGTTTTCCAGATGTGTTAGTAATTGCCCTTAAGTAATGATTTACAACAGAGTTGCTACCGTATTTTCGAAATTTTCTAATCCAGTATGTTGGGTCCAGTATCACACCTGATTGGATAAGATACGACCTTGACAATTATTTCTGCAGACTATGGAACATAGTATTACTGCTGCCAAAACGTCAACAGACAACACAATTTATTCAAGGGATACAAGAGACAAAATTATAAAAAAGGCAACTCATTGTAAGTACAAACCTCACGTAATCCCTCTTGCAATAAGTTTTTCCGTCCCTGACGAAACACGTACATGATTCGTCGAGGAACTGTTGGCACTCCTGGCACTTGAGACAGGCAGCGTGCCACTCGAGGTCCGGTGCAACCCTCAGGATCCACTGGTCGTGGATCTGACCCCCACACCCCACGCAATGTGACGTCCGGCGATTTTTCTCTATAAAAAAAAGAAAGAATTAATCAATCTGTAAACAACTACAAATTACCAAAATATACCGGAAAATGTTATCAGGTTTACCGTACAACCTCCAGCTTGAATCAGCTTGCATAGGCATAACTAGCTGCAAAGGATGTTCTGCCCACAGAAGTTATTCAGGAAAAATATGATCGAGAGTAGTGGATGATTGTCATTTGGTGCTTGTGAATGTAACTGAATCGGTCAGTGTAAAAACCTCTTAAGTCCGTTTGTTTGCCAACATTTACTGAAAAAGCTTCATTAAAGGTATCTATCTACCTTTACGCATCTGCATATTCTGGGTGAATACCTCACAAATCACTACATTCCTTCTCCCTCAAATAACACCACGTTTAGAGCAACACATCGTACGCCTGGGACTTATGTGCTTTTGCACGCACTACTCAACGCTCGATCATTTTAAAAACAGTAACAGAATCTCTGTTTTGTGTTATTCTTTTCTCCTGCTTTTATTTTGGACATTCAGGGTCACAAATATGATATACATACAACAGAATGCATGCTAGAATAGAAGATAAGCCCAAAAAGGAGTCACTTCTTCTAGCCCTATAAGATAAAATCACAATTCTATATTAAAAATTTTGATATGAATAGGTAATAGGCGGTATTTATAATAAAAAAATCGACCTCATACACTAGTATTACCTAATCTAACTGAAAATTCATTTATACAGCTGGAGCGCAAGAGTACATGACCAACTAAAAATAACTAAATATTCGTTTGAAAAAAACATTACCATTCCATTCCACAGAACTAAATTTTATGAAAGATCATTTACGTATAATATATATAAGCTATACAATCCTATCCCCCAGTACCTCAAATCATATGAAATTCATAAGTTCAAAGCAGTTTTGCGTGATTCATACCTTGAATGTATAAAGTAGAATTATTCTTACTGCTGCTTCAGAATTTCAATTTTATTTTGTTTGCATTACATTATTTTATTTATATATTTTTTTTCATATGATGCATAATGTACGTATATGTAATCATATATCATTCTAGACTTTTAAATTTACCACCACGTTTTCTCTTTGCTCTTTTTTTCAAACAAATTGTCGTTCATATTGGCCTTTGTTTATGCGGTATTTATAGGTATATATATGTGTATATATTATTCTAGACTTTCTTTTTTTTAAATTTACTACCACGTTTCTCACTTTTCTATCTTATTTTAAAAAACTTTCATGCTGTTCATATTGATGTTTGTATATTATGCCTGATGGATGTATTTACTGGCATAATCTTTCTTTCAGTTTCAAGGGATGAGTGGAAGAGCACTGGATAGTGAACTGCCCCTTGTGGTTTTCAGACAGTCGACATTTGTTTTATTTTTTTCTTTTCCTTTTTTTTTGTTTATACTCATGTTTCTCTTTATGATATTTTTTTGAGAACTGTTTGGAAATAAAGGCAATTATTATTATTATTAGTATTATTTATCAATTATTGTTAGTAATGAACTAGGGAGGTTATGCGAAATTTTAATCTGATGGAACATAAATAGTACGTTGAGCCTAAAAATGGGTTTATTTATCAATGACACAGTTTGAACGTCCAAATTATGGGTATTCGCACTGATCGATTCAATTGCATTCATCGGTAATTATATAACTGTTGCCCGGTGAACGACCACTGACATTCAAAGGCTAATATTACAGCTGGTTGACTAGAAAATAGAGTTATTGAAACCAAGTAACACAAAACACTGGAGAAGTGGGACACCAGTTGTACCTTTCGCCATTATCCGTCAGAGCGGTCCGGTGGACCTTTGCTCTTAGTTAAAAGTCTCGTCGGTCTGTTAATCTGTCAGGTCTGGCTACCCAGATACCAAACATGTTTAAGGGGAAAAGGGAAAGAAGGAAAGAAAGAAAAAGAGCAAAGAAAAGAAGTAAATCATTTGAAATAGCTTAAGCATTATTGCTTTGACTATTTGAATTATTTTGTAACTCCAAAAAATAATTTTGATCGGTTTTGTATACTGTAATAATTTTGACTGGTCTGAATTTACAATTTAATTTTGATCACAGTGCGAGGCGCGGCCTGGAATGTTTGCGAATTTGCTCGACTGTGTAGTCTACTGAATGACGCAACAGAGAGTTGCTGCTCTTGATTATAACGCCGCTGCGCCTGTTGTTTTACGTAATCCCTTAGATATGGGATATAAAGATCTCTGTTAATGGTCTCATTTGACACGTACCAAGGGGCGTTAGTGATTGTGAGTAGGGTTCTGTTTTGCAGGACTTGCAGTCTCTTCATGTGCGTCTTGGCAAGAAAACACCAAGCCGCGCATGCGTAAGTGATTGCGGGTCTTATGACCATTTTATACAGCCGAATCTTGTTGATCAAACTAAATTTTGAATTTCTGCACAACAAAGGATAAAGCGGCAGAAAGGTAATTTGGAATTTTATTTCAAAATATCAGTATGTTTCTGCCAGATCAACCCCTTGTCAATGATGACTCCAAGATATCTGATAGATTGCTCCCATGGTATACGAGTTCCATCCACTGATATCTCTGAGGGGGCACCGCGACGTTTTTTAGTACAATAGATTGCCTCCACCGCACTCTGCAGCCTGTCGTGAACTAGGTTACCAGAACAAGACTGGGCTAGCAATGCAGTGTCGTCAGCATAGAGAAAGACTTCACAGTTTCTGGGGCAAGGGACGTCATGTATATATAGTGAATAAAGGATTGGTCCTAAGACCGAAACCTGAGGAACACCGGCTCTTATTTGTTGCCAACACATTGTTAATTTTGATCCGAAACTTCCTTCCTTCTAGGAAAGATTTCAACAGTTTTAGTAGCCAAAATGGAAAACCCTTTTGGATGAGCTTATACAAGAGACCCATGTGACACACCTTGTCAAATGCCTTTGATACATCTAAAAGCAAGATACCAGTACTTTTGTTCAGAGTGAACCCCTGGTTACATGCTCCACCAGTCTAACTGCCAGTAGCTCCGTACTATGCTCAGACCGAAAGCCGAATTGCACGTCAGAAATCACATGGTGATCTGACGAGACGATAAATCACCTTTTCAGCGAGCTTAGAAGGAGCTGACAGCAGACTAATGAGACGGTAATCCTGGGGGAATATCGAACCTGCCTTCTTTGGGATCATGATGAGTTCAGCGACCTTGCACGCCTTAGGAAAGTAATGACTTCTGAGCATTGCATTGATTGTTACCACCAGTCAATGCCTTGAGCGAAAGCAACTTCAGTGCTTTGTTGGTGATTTGATCCTCTCCAGGTGCTTTACGCACCTTTAGGTCATTAATGTGGCCTTATAGCTCTGCTGGTGTGCAAAACGGAATCTCAGATGATTCCGTTGATGTGCTATGCTGATATTCATCTGAAAAGTCTTCCGTAGAAGGAGTCACCGATGTTGGTATCGCCATTCGGTCTGAAGTATCTCCTGACGTATCTTACAAATTGTCGTTCGTCGTCAAGGTCATTGTCCAGATCATAATTGGGAGAGAACTGCCTTTCCATGACGTCAGCAAAAACCTCCACTTTATCCTCAGTCCTGAAAACTATGGCTCCAGGATCATGAATATGTGAAGTTGTTCTTGCCTTCCGTTTCTGAGCGATTTTGCCACTTTCCAGAGAGGAATACTTGATTCAAGCATCCCGGCCAGCAAGCCGCTCCACTGCTTATTGCGGAATTCATGGAGTGCATTTCTCACTTCATGGACGAGATTCGTTGCTCTACGAATGTCATCAGGATAACAAGACCTTTTTGCTTGCTTAATCGCAACCCTCTTTTCAGAAATTTTCCGACGAATATCAGCAGGGAGAGACACCAGCTGTTTGCCTGGAGGAACTATCAAAGGAATACTGGAAACGTGTAGAGGATCTAGTTTGTTTAAAAATTACTTGAAATTTGCTGAGTTGATATTACCGATATTGAAGAATTGTTTCATGAATGTAAATTCATAGATAGATATTTTTATTGATCACATTTTCGTAAATTGTTAGATGTGACAAGTCAAAGAAGGGAAAAAGATTGATACATAAGACATCCAAAATTACAATTAAAAAAAAATAAGACCTACATAGGATAATGACAATTTAAAATTTGTAAGATAAAAACTCTTGTACAGTGTAGAAGGAGCTCTGGCACATACATTTTTTTACTTTGTCTTAAACTCATTATAATTCGTAATATCCCTTAGATATTTTGATAATAATTATTGAATAACTGGATGCAGTTGTAAAATACAGATCTTTCATATGTTGTTGTTTTATGCCTAAGAAA